TAGAGACTGGTACCAAGTAATAATAATAAAAAATATTAGAATAGTCCAGAGAAATAGGCAATGGACCCTTCTACCTACCCAACCCATGTCCACGAGTTGCCTCAAAATCAAAGGCACTTTTGGAGCATAGGGAATAGAAACACTCTACAGAGCTAGCATATGGGAAGGTACAGGGCCTATAACCTAGGCAGGTACCTGAACAGACCCTATGTTGCGCCGTAATTAGGTATTCATAAATCTTACCACCGTTGTAAACATAGGTAATAAACAACCAGAAATAATAACAACCTTACACTAACGGTGAATAATAATAAAAATCATTATTATTAAATCATCATCAAACTTGGGTAGACGAACAACAACGGGGCCTGCTCGAACCCACCTCACCACTGAAACCTGTTAATCGCCTCCGTCCTGAGGTAGTCTCGTAATCTGTTTTACTTGCAGGGTCATAAGCTCATAGGTCGACCTTCCTTGTACTCTTGTGTCGTAGGAAAGGTAGTAAGTAGTATCTAGTAGCTACTTTAGTTAAATTACTACTATAGCTGCAAAAGCCTCTAATTTGCTGTCTGCCAACTGCTGGATCAGCTGTCAACGATGATGATCTCTTCCTATGCATCTCAAGCTGTTTCATCTTCCTTTTGAATCTCCCTCCTTTTCTTTTGACCTTTTTGTCTTTTCTTCCTCTTCTTCTGCCCTTTCCCTCGTGATCCCGGATTTCCCTTCTTATCTTCTCATTGGCATTATCTTATGCGATAACTTCGAGTCTCTTCTATTCTTTATACTATCCTGACCAGACCCTCTTCATTCGGTGAAGACTCTCATCTGATACTATACTCCAATCGTCACATAAAGATTCGTACTACCATTGACACATTCTACTTTCAATCTTTCATCTGTTAGGAGGCCTCATTGGTTACTACACGATTTTCCACTTCTCAAATCTTCGCCTTTACGCTCAGTGTTTTGCTATTGTCGTTATCTGCGTCTTGTCGACTTTTGCGCTATTTGGTGGTTTACCTTGCAAACGTCACACGGCTCGACTGTGCCATCTACCCATCTTTGCTAGAACCTTGGAGCTAGCAGGGTAAGCAAGTTTGCGAGACCGGTTGTCTGTCTCAAATTGTCTTTGTTTCGGGAGGAATTCTGCTTCATCACTCGTCTCTTATATCATCCTAGATTATCTTCCTTCTTTGCTCTTTCTGGGTGTACCGATCGACGAACACATCGAAGGTAACCTTATCTGGCCGGTAAGCCAGGTCATCAGGGAAGCTTTCCTCGATTGCATATGCATTCTTTTGGCTCATAGCCCACAACCATTGCAGGCTGAGTCTTTACATTGCGAGTCGCGCATATGATTGCGTTACAAAACCAGGCTTTCTACCCTCCTGCCAAAGTGGATATCTCACTGCTTCTGAAGCCCCAAGATGAGGAGGAAGCCGCCTCGGTGACTACTACGTCCGCCTTCCCTTCGAGGACCCTCCCTCCAGCTTCCATTGGCCCAGCGATATCTGTCCCAGCCTCGACGCCTTTGTCATCCGCGCCGCCTCTCACCGCAAAAACCCCAGCGTCCGTCCCTGCCAAGCGTCTGCAGCCGGCCCATACAGCCGAGTCTCCGGCCAAGAAGCAATCGAAGTGGTCCCCCGAGGAAGATGCACTCATCATAGAGTTGCGGGGTAGTGGCATGAAGTGGGAGGACATCAGTAAACGGCTCCCGGGGCGAAGCGCTATCAGCTGCCGTCTGCACTATCAGAATTACTTGGAGCGCCGAAGCGAGTGGGACGAGGACAAGAAGAACAAACTTGCAAGGCTATACGAGAGGTGCGTTTCTGAAAAGACTGGCTCTGTCTACTCAGGCAGAGAGAATTTGATTTTGGAGATAATTATGATAGCTGCGAAGATGACTTGCTGACTAGTGAGACTAAAGGTTCAAGGCAGAGATGTGGTCAAAAGTAGCAGAAGAGATGGCCATCCCATGGAGAGCCGCGGAGGCTATGCATTGGCAGCTAGGGGAACAAGAAATGGCACGCCGGGCTGGCGTAGTCCCATTTTCGTTATCGAGTTCAGCCATAGATCCGCCAGCGACCAGGGTTCGCAGGGCCAGTACCTCGTTATCTCGCCCAAGAAAAGGATCTGCATCACGTCCTATTCCTCCGCCCCAACTTCCGTCAGTTGAAGAACTTACCGCCGGTGTTCCTGCGTACGCGCCAGCCCCGCCGTTTCCCATACCGCGAGATGCCTATCAGTTTGGCCGTCCTCTGGACTTGAGCGGCAGCCATAGCGGGCATTTAGGACCTCCCTATGGTCTGCCGCCTCGAACGCTGCCATAGCGGAATCGAAATGATCCGAAAGATCTCGTTCTCCTCCTTTTCCTTTTTGTTTCTGATGTTTCTTTCCCTTTGTTTTGGATTCCGTGTTGTTATGATATGCATAGCGCAGGTTGAAGGTGTTCCTCACTATTTATGAGGGGAGTTCTTATAGAAATGATCTCCGTGATCCCCTGGCTTTCTGTTACTGAGCGTTTCCAGGAGGCTGTCAACTCGACGAATTCTCTTTTGTCATCACCCATCATATATGGTGGACGTTATATGCAATTTACATGAACAGAAAACGGGGAGGTATGCAAGGTAGAGGCTTCGAGGCTGGTTCTCGAAGTCCAAGGTGATATCAATCAAGCACAACTGTCCTCTACTCATCGGATCGTGTCGCAATCGCCCACCAGTTGTCTTTTTCATAGCCCGAATCTAGAACACGGCCGCCCGCTCTTTCAATGTCGCGTTCCAGTTCTGTTGCCTCATAGAGGTGATAGTATCGGTGGAAAGTCCTCGGCTCGTCGTCAGAGCTACCAAGGGCAGGCTTGGGCTTCAAGACCCAAGGAACCATTACGTCCTGCTTGTCGCCTTTGTCCCAACCCCTGCGGCTGGTCTTTTGTTCCAAGGCCCAAACATACAGCAGGACTCTGCCTCCGGACGATTTATTAGAGGCCGGTTTCAAAGTGCGGAGAATTTCGCGGATAGCCTGAATTCTTCGTTCAGGTGTGGACAGATGGTGCACAACAGCAATTGAGATAGCGAAGTCAAATAACGAATCTGGATGTGGCAGATTCAGGATGTCCGCCACGATAGTTGAATGCGGCTGGTGTTTGACGGCGATCCGGGCGAGATTCTCGGAGCTGGCTGGCGTTAGCTATCGATCGTTGAATGTGGCAGAGGACGAGACATTGCGAAAAGAAGTGACAATGAATGAACAGATATATATACAAGATTGGGAACGAATATCGCCCTGAGCATTCTACAAACACGTTCATGAAGTAGCAAATAACAGAATATCTGATAAAGACCTACCGATCCGAGGCGACTATAAAAACGTCCTTATTTACAGACAAGTACTTGCCATTGCCGCACCCCACATCAAGACCAATAGACCCCGGTGCCAATCCTTTGAGGAAGCCTTCCACAATGGGCCAAGGCTATAGACAGGTCAGCATCAGTCTACCAATGTATCGATGACGAGTAGGGCGTGCTACGCACCTTGTAACGGGTCGAGGAGAAGTGTTCTGCTATCTGTTGATACACTTCATGTACGTTTTTCTCTTCATAGGCCTCTTCATCGGGCAGATTCGCCGTAGAATCGGGAAAAGACGACGATGCCATTTCGGTTGGGTTTTCTCTTGTTGAGACAGGCTCGGGTTAAGAATCCCTCACATGCAAATTCGGAGGGTCCCGGATTTTCTTATGCTGTCTCGTTGCAGTCAGGGGTACGCAGTTATAGTAAGAGAATACAGAGTATCATCAATTGAGGTATCTGCAGATTGTGCCGCCAAGACGTGCAGTTCTGGTAATTCGGATTTCAAACCAAGCGGTAATTTTCTGGCATTCCAAGTAAGATTAAGGTTGTGTCTGGCCTTGCTGCTGATGCGCCTTTCGGAGAATTTCTGAATCAGCAGCTGCTGTCAGGCTGATGGTAGCTAAGGTACGTACCTTATCTTTTGCGTAGCAGGCTAGTAGTAGTATTCCGTAGTGTTGCGTGCAAAAGTCCTAAAATTTGAGTTCTTCCCAGTTATTGATCGCAGTGCCTAAGGCAGCATCAATCCATGCAACTGCATCATATATATACAACTTTTTGAATTACTAGAGGCCAGAGATCTCATCTGCCTATCTTGGACAAGCCAAGCCAAATTATAGCTAGCACAACGTAGATCAGGCAGATATGGACTTGCTCCGTACTTGTTGTATAGATTGAAGAGGCTTGGCTGGTAAAGTCATTCATTGAGCAAGGCCGTATGGAAGTACCGTCATCGGCCCCAACCTCATGTGATCAACGCGTATATAGTCGATGGTTGGATTTATCTAAGAATCTGCCACTAAAAAAAACGAGAGCTCGGGATAAGTCAGTCTGGTCTTCCAGTTCATCTGACAGTTCTCGATCAATCTCGACCATCACCATACATATTGTGGCCTGAGGCACACACTCACGCCTAAGAGGGCCAAGAAATGGAATCGGGCTCCACGTGCCTTTCGTGCACCATTTGATGTCGAGACACCGGACACAGTTCGATAAGGTCGAAGTGCGAATTCCGTAGTCCTTGTGAAATATTTATAACGTTTGTGAGTGACTAGAAGTCCCATTGTCGTTCTCTGTCCTCACCTTGTCCCCCAACGAAGATCTGTGGTACGTTATAGGGATTCAGGACCTTGGTCGCTCTGAAGCCTCTTGTCTGGTTCCTGTGTAGCGATACCACTTATTATCTTCACATATCTCTGGCGCTCTACGAGGAACCTCCCTCTTTTTCTCTTGCTCGAGAATCTGGAAGATTCCCCATACCAGACTTAATGATTCTCATGGCGTTATATGTTCGCGTTGCCTGCAATTCGCCCGCCACCATGTGACCGATAGGCGTATATCATGACTTCAATTGGGATCCCTTCATTGTAGAAAGCATATAGAACTCAGACATTGGCTGACCTCCATATAGTTGATCCGCTTCAATCACATCAGTGATGGCATTCCAGCCCTCGCCGACGGATGTCTCTGTCATCGTCACCACGCCCAATACAGCAACTGGTCCCGAACCGCGCTTCCTGACAGAGCGTCGTGTCACTCCGACATGGACTGTCCTGCAGCTGAAATCCAAGTTGGAGACGATGACTGGCATCCCCACGAACTGTCAAAGTCTACTACTGAAGGCACCCGGGCGTGTTGATCAGTGGGTAGATGGAGATGATAGTATCATCGGCAACTGGGGTCTGATGAAGGGCTGCGAGATTGAGGTATGCGCCGTTCTTTCCATCTTCCGCTTTCCCAATTCAACTATTTCGTCCCATGTACGCTCGGACTCGGACGGTCCTGGTTATTCATCGTTCATCTTGGATGGTCGGTCCGTCAGGTATTTGACCACTACAGCTCAATGCTACTTGCCTTGTTTGTCTTTCCTGCGGATTTTGATACCAGCCAGCTCCAGATGGATGCAACACCATGGAATCAGTCTCAAGTGGCAGTGAGCTGTCTGGATGCCTGACAGCGATGACTCGCTATTTCCTCAAAGCAAGCAACGGACCTGCACATTCTATTGATATTTGCTGAACAATAGCACCATTTCATAGGTTCACGATACTCGCCCTCAAGCCGCACGGCCTAATTTCAACGATTTGTCCTCTGTGGAGAAATATGTCCTCCCCTCAGCCACGTATGAGTCACTTCCAAACTCCGTTCTAGCCTGGAAAAAAAACCAGAAACTCGGCAGATTCGACCCCAATGCTCTGTCACCGAAGGAGTCGATGCAAAAGCAGGCAGAGAAAGATACCGAGGATATTCGCGTTCGGGGTAAGTCATAAAAAAATGGCGACGCAGGGTTGAGCGACGGCTCGGCATTACCTGGTCATAAAGAAGATTATTCAGATCATTTACTGATCGAGGGATGACAGGCATCGCCGTCTCCCGACGTGCTATTATCCTTCCGTCATCCCCTCCACACGTTAGGCGAGGTACAATACGCTATGTTGGGCCTGTGCCTACGATACCTTTCCCTGGAGTGGACGTCACATCTCAAGAAACTTCCGACTCTGGTCCCCAGCCTATCTGGGTAGGAATTGAACTCGACGAGCCTACCGGAAAGAACGACGGTTGCGTAGGTGGCAGACGATATTTTACTTGTCCCAACAATACGGGCGTCTTTGTGAAGCCCGAAAAGGTGGAAGTCGGAGACTTTCCCCCATTAGATTTGTTTGATGACCTGGAGGATGAAATGGAGGAAATATGAAAATACTCTCCTTATCTCCGCTGACCAAGTAGTCCAGCAGGAAGAGAATCACAGAAACAGAGAAGAAAATGGAAATGGAAAGGCTAGCATCGGTCTGGCACAATAAGTTTCTATTCAAGACAATAAATCCAGTTATACCAAGCTCCCGCTCGCAATCGTTGTGCTCGTTCGCCGGCAAATATAAGAGATGAACTGAGAAGGAAAGGGGGAAAAATGTCATGGAGAAACCCCGAACACCGTCGTTCCAGTACCCCATGCTGGTGAATCGCTACACTGAAAAGGGCCAAAGGCACGAAATGAATACAAATACCCAATATGGATGAAAGCTTCTACAGCATCTCAACGGCGAAAAAAGGAGGAAGTAGGAAAGTGCACTGCGAACACGCTTCGCAGTCGGTCCTACCCCAACAGGAGTGACCGAAACCAAGGGAAAGAAAAGGATCATGAAGCTTTAGACCCACTTCCTGCCTTTTGCTTGCCTTTCGGCCTGCCTTTACCGGTACCGTTTGGGCGACCCCTTTGAATTGTTGACTCGTCTTCAGTTGAAACAGCTGGCTTGGAAGCTGATCCGGGGCTGGACTGGTCATTCTCCACCGGAACACAGCCTTGCGTAAAGAAGAGCCGAGCATCCTTCCCATGCGTGTTCGCAAAGCTGTAATAATTCCCTGCAACCGAGGAAAATGCTAATCAGCATGCGCAATGGAAATGCAAAGGAGCTAGACACAAGGCGAGCACGTCCTGAAGAGACTCCCTTACCCCTTGGCACTTGAAATACACAGCCCTTTCCGGCGCTGAATTGAACGCCAGATATATCTACCTGGACCCGTCCGTGACACACGTAGAAGACCATGTGCATCTTCTTTGAGTTCTTGGGTTTCTTTACACCCCCTGGGGGCAGTTCGACGATTCCAGAGCCGATGAACGGGGAGCTCAGCAGCTTAGCAAAGCGGAAGGTAGAGTCTTTGACATCTCTCGTCTCGATACCCGACGGAGCATAGGCGATATCTACAATTACCCTGGGTCAGCGTACTTTGGTGTGATTCAATAGCCAGGCAACCAGAGAATAAGGCAAACATTCAAAAGTACTTACCGAGAACCTCCTCATCGATGGAACCGGCTTGGGTATCTGGATCCCATTTCCTAACGTAACCATGCAAGACGCCGCCTTCTTTCTCCCACGGATCGACGTAATCGTCGTCTTCATTGTCCGAATCATCGTCTCGACTCTTCCGCGACTTGGATTTCTTGGATGACCGCCGTTTACTGACTTTCCTCTTCTCCGGTTCCAGTTCCTCTGTTCGGATGATCTCTTTGATAGTCGAAAGCGGATAGCGCTGGCCTTCGGCGGCCTCGCCGTCTCCATAAACGCACCTCTCATTTTTCCAGTAGGCAAGCGGTCTAACAGAAACTCGCCCCGATCGAGTGTGGGTTGCGCTGCCATCAGTGGGTATTTCCCGCTTCAGTATGTATAGGCTCCGACCCTTTAGAGGCCCGGTACGATTGACATGATTTTCCACAACTTTGTCTAACTCTGGATTTCCGGAGCTCTTCAACCCCCGTCCAGTCTGACTGGCAGTCTTTGATTTCTTGGAAGGTCGTTGTCCCACGGCATCATCCTCATCATTGTTCATCCTTTGCGATTTTGGGGGTCTCCCAGGGCGCTTTCGTTTCTGTACATTCCCTTGCTCGCTCGTCTCATTTTGCTGCGTGACTTCTTGGGCCCGAGTTTTCTCAGATTGTGCAAGTTTCTTAGGCTTGGAGACGACTCTTGATCGCTCTGTTTTGCGCGAACAGGCAGCTGTGTACGACGAAATATCCATATCGACGCGATCAACGCGCTCAGACTCATCCTGTTGATCTTCCGCGAAAGAGTCGTCGCCAGCGTTGAAACTGTTGTCGTAATCGTTTCGCATCTGCTCAAACGCGTTCGCATTTTCGTCTCCGTTCATTTGACTATTAGCGTCACTGTCTGAGAAGTCAACTGTGACCGTGGTTCCTGCCGTCTTGTTGATACCTTTATTATTTCGCAGGCCATTGACATGGTTTAGGGAGGGCGCATTGATGGAACGGTTGGTAAGAGGGGACACATCACGCCGAGCTTCCCCTTTAGCACTCCCAAGCCCCTTACCATCTGATGGACTGGAAGAGAGAATGTCACGTTGCGGACTTGGAGAAGATCGCAAGCCGGGAGTTCGCCGCGGTGATCCACTCAAGCCGGATTTCATGGGAGATCGCGCAACCGGCGGCGGGAGGAAGGATGCGCGCCCCCCGTTCGTTCCACTCAAGAAGTCAGCGGGCCCAAGCCCGTTGCCTGTGACCAGGCACAAGATCAGTATGGTCGTGGGCAAATCGGAAGAAGTGAATCACACACCTTCATCCATGGACATTCCATCGGACCCAATCGTAGTGTTGTTGCCATATGCTTCGGGTGACTTTTCGGGAGACGAGAAAATCCCATCTATCTCCTCCATTCCATGCTCGTCGCGCTTGCCTTCTTTTAAGGTAACTCCCGTTCGTCTACATGCCGTGCCATGGTCAGGGTTCCCTTGCCGAAATGACGGAGGATTCCTAAGGAGACATGCCCCTGCATTACTTACCTCCCAGCTTTACCGACGTTAGAATAGTCATAGTCGCGAGTTTTCGCAGGCCCGCGAGGAGCCATTGTTGCGGAGGTTTAGGAGTAGTGGTGCGGGAAACAGTTTCACCGAATTATTGGGGCGATGCACGGGGCCAGCAGCGTCCGATGCCAGAATCTCTGTGCCGTGAAGCTTTGCGAGTAGGACGATGTATCTCATGCAGGGGAACACCCTGTGCCTCGTGCACTAATAGGATGTTGAGAGAGGGGAATTCAAGCGTCGAGCAAGAGTAAAGATGATGGCTACTTGGGAGGGGAATTGCATTGGAATTCATGATGGGCGGCGAACAACGCGCGGAAGTGCCGCTAGTCCGGAACGGTTCTTGACGCGTCCAAAACTCCCAAAGTGCAGTCGACAGGCCATACAAGCATGTGAGTGTCTTCCAACATTTGCTGATGAATTAATCCAAATCTCCCTCTTCTTGAGCTTATTTCTTCTCCTAGACTTCGGCCCTGCTGCGAATATGGAAGGATGCGGCCTGAGTGTCACCGATGCTCCAGATGCATCTACCTCCGCGGGCTCCTTCATCCCTCCCAGTATAGATCGCGCTCGACTGCTGTCTGGAGAGTCCTACGCTTACTATTCTTCATTTACTCCCGCCAGTACAGAAGGGTCTCCGCAGGTTACTGGCGGCAATCACACAATCACAGCGGATTCTTCCACGCCATCCGCATCCCCGTCACCAAGCTATCTTGTACTGGGTGTCGACGAAGCGGGACGTGGACCAGTTTTGGGTCCCATGGTTTACAGTGCCTTTTATATTCCGCATACTCTCCACCACTCCCTCCTGGCTCGCGACTATAGCTTCAACGATAGTAAAGTTCTCACTCCCGGTGTGCGCGCGAACTTGATGCGGCTGCTCTGCACGGCTGGAAATCCTCTCCATGCATCGTGTGGGTGGGCGACCAAAGTCTTATCTGCGCGAGACATCTCCGCAGGCATGATGCGGCCTGCATCTGGTGCGTATAACTTGAACGCACAGGCGATGGATGCCACTGTTGAAATAATACGCGGCATTGTGGAGGAGCGCAGAGTAGACATTAGAGAGGTCTACATTGACACAATCGGGAATCCAGCAACCTATCAACAGAAACTGGAGCGTATTTTCCCTACATTGAGGGTTACAGTCGCGAAGAAAGCCGACTCTCTATACCCTTGCGTAAGCGCTGCAAGTGTGGTCGCCAAAGTCACGAGAGACGTGGCACTGGAGTTCTGTCACGAAGCCGTATACGGACTTCAACGACCTGAAGCGCCATCGCTGGGGGTGGCCACAGACAGCTGGGGAAGCGGGTATCCTTCGGATTCCAAGTGCGTCAGCTGGCTCAGAAACCATATGGACCCAATTTTCGGATGGGGCAACGAGTGCCGATTTAGCTGGGGGACTGCAAAAGATATACTTGAGCTAAAGGGAGGAACCAGAGTCGATTGGCCGGTCGAAGAGGAGGGCATTGCACCGATCAAAGACTTTCTGCTTACCACCACAACAAATGCAAAGAGAACTGAGCAGGATGAGTTGCGGGAATGGTTTGGTCGCCGATCAACCGAGGTGATTTGAAAAGGACCCGCCCATCCATTTAGCTTCAATAGGAAAGAATGGTGAATGTTATGATACCCCAATTGAATCAGATTCTAAACATGTCGAGGCAATTTACAAAGAACAAAAATGCCAGTAGTGACCACAAATGTCCCATGGGTATCTCCTTGAAACTCCTTGTGAAGCACACATCAAACATCAAATGAGACTTTCCAAAACGCCGAATAATCATCGCGATTCAGATGAACAGTAAGATTACACAAGCAGCCATTCATCCCGTAGATCATGGACCTGCATGGCCTTTTGAGACACAACTGGAAACCGATCTAAGGGCGGCAAGCACGAGGTAAAAGGCGGGTTACGCAATGGAAGATTGAATCTTCACAGCGTTGCAGTAGAGAAATAGAAGTTCTCCCATAAGTATTCATAGTCTTCGATGACGCTCCCCACCAAATCAAGCAGTGGTTTACCTTTCATCTTGCCGGTCAACCCCTTTAGCCACGACCTAATCAGTGTCAGCTCGTCGTTCCCTTCACCTCAAATGAAAGGCCAGGGATTGCATACTTGGTAATGTTCTCATAGAATGCACCGCGCAGAAGCCACCAGCCCATGGCCCAGCCTCGCTTTCTCAGTTCCTCGCGTTCAAGCCCTGTGAGGCCACGAAGGCCTCCTGCCACCCGCTCGCGGAAATCGGACTTGGCAAGTTGGCGACAACCATACTCCATAGCAAAGCCGATCAACCAGGGCCTCCAGCTTCTTTTGTCACGCCGCCATCTTTGTAGCGCTAGTGCATAGATGACCGGCCGCAGGATGTATAACACTTCTGCTAA